TGTTGCTGCTGATCTGTTTCATGTTGCTGCTGATCTGTTTCATGTTGATGTGTTCATGCGTGCTCATCTGCTCACAGACTCATGTTTGTGCTGCTGTTTGACGTAATATCCTGATGCATGCTCAATAATCCAGGTGTTTGACGTGATGTTTTATGTTATGAGTGCTTAGTGTATATTTAGTTGATGTTTTTCTTAGTTCATATCTTAGATGTTATTACTGTTTTTCTTATACATTTTATTGTTGGATGTAACTGGGACCCTGTGTACATAATTTCGCTCCACCACATGTACCACATGAGGTGCGAATGACAAATAAAGAACCTTGAATCTTTGAATTACTCAAACCAAGTTGACTCCATAAATTAATTGTATTATTTTATAACCATAATTTCACGTTTTGGTTCTGCTGCAAACAAGTTAAACATTTTGAGGCTTGTCAAAATCCTCTACCGTCCCCTGCTGTTAGGTTAATCATCTGCAGAATGGAGAAGAATCTGTTAGTTTTTACAGCGCTCAGGCTCAATCATTTTAAGATCGACTTTATGTTGGACGTGCCATTCTTTAGAAGAAAAAACACTTTTTGTGCAAATGCACCAATTTCAACGTTAACTTTAAATAAAATAACTGAACAACAAAAGTGAATGTTTCTGGTGTTGAATATTCTGCAGATATTAATTCATTTCACGTAATAGCTGACTGTAACATTCTAAGATGTTACATTTAGCCATTCAGGTAAAAAAAGAAATACAGCAAGTTCTGGTAAACAAAAAACATTTTTATTTATCATTTAAAGGTTTTGTAGACATTTTAACCAAACAGGACGAGCAGGAGTATTTTACAGAGCCTGTCAAATATTGACAACACTGCTTTCATTCAGCTGAACTGCACAAATCTACTTTTCACTTACACCACCTGTACTTTACAGTAGTCCACACAATGGAAATAAAGACTGAATAAAACTACAGTGACCTTCTGTTGTGGGAGCTACAGCGCAGGTAGCAGTGAGACACGTCTATTCCATATTTTTATTACACACTGACTTTATGAGACGGCAGGAGTCATACATGACGACATCTGAATCGCACGGAGTCTCAACCTGAAGAGGTGAGGTCTGTCTTCAACCTGAACAACAAAATGTGTGGAGAGAACCCTAAAGCAGCATCTTTAAGAACTCCAAAAAGTGTATTCAGAGGCCTCTGTGCCCATTCAAACACATCCCGTCATGGAAACAGGAATAGTAGTTCGTCTCTGACAAAGACGACTCCTATGTAAAACGATAAGAAGAAATGTTGACATTTTGCTGCCATTTTTATAAACCAAGTTTAAAAATAAATCCTTAAAGGTGGAAATGACGGAGCAATCCACCTGTGACAGCAGCTCGGTGTCCAGTCTATTCAATAATCCAGGAGTCACGTTACAAATAAAACGTTCATTTGACTTTAACAGGGAGGAAAATGGTGCTTTTCCATTATTGCTCTGCTTCTTTACCCAAATGAAAGTCCAACACACAATTCAGCAAGAGACAGAAGTTGTGTGTGTGAAAATATTGAGAGTATGTTTGTAGAGTGAGTAAGGTGGCATCACATACCCCAAGTGTCTTTCAGAGGTGGTGAGGAAAGCACAGCGTGAAGTTCAGCTTTAGAGCCACTGGATCGTTAGATCAACAAGTCCAATGTTTGATTTCCACACACCTCGTGATGACTGTCCAGCTTCCTTTCCACTTAGTCCACAACCCCTCACAGGCTTCAATATGAGCAACACGCTTGGATTCTTGGGAAATGTATTGAATTCTAAGCTGATGTAAAGACACAGAGTGAAAGAAGGTTTGTCCAAAAGAGGCGACTCCACATCTGTTGAGCCCGTCACACTTTCTGTTGGACAAATGGAGTCAAAGCTACGGTCTCTTTACACCAACTCAGACAAACACCTTTATTACTTGAAAGAGTCAGTCTATGTTCCCCCATTTAAAAACCCAGTTTCTGGTTTGATGAACAGGGCAGACAAGGCGAATGCCAGAAAGACGATCCCTCCGATGATTGTAACTGTGGAAAGAAAAGCAAACATTTCATTTCAGATCAACAGCATCTCTGTAGCTTCATACGAAATCAGACACAATAAACCAGTTACGGTATTGGTTTTAATTTTAGGCTCATGCACTTAGTCTCTGACAGATTTCATTTCCATTCACCCTCTCTTTCTACAGGTTAGTCTCCGTGAGTCACGAGGACTCATTTACGCAGATAAAATACACGACTGTAGAATCCAAGTTCAGTCCTGGACGCTGGACCAGACTTTTGTAAGTAAATAAATATAATCCTAATGCTTCTATTAAAATATAATCCTAATGCTTCTATTAAAATAAAATCCTAATGCTTCTATTAAAATAAAATCCTAATGCTTCTATTAAAATACAAAGCAGCAAACTGGGGCATGGACACACTGCTCATTTCACCTTTACTGCACATTTTAAACATATGTTTATTTGTTATGTTTGATTCTCCATCCATCCATTTTCTTTACCCGTTTATTCCATTTTGGGTCACGGGGGTCGCTGGTGCCCATGTCCAGCAATCACTGTGCGAGGGGCGGGGTACACCCTGGACGGGTCGCAAGTCCATCACAGGGACACAGAGACAAACAAGACAAACAACCATTCACTCTCTCACTCACACCTAGGGACAATTTAGAGTTACCAATCAGCCTAACATGCATGTTTTTGGTCTGTGGGAGGAAACTGGAGCACCCGGAGAAAACCCACGCATGCACGGAGAGAACATGCAAACTCCACCCAGAAGGCCCCTGGACCGGGGTTTGAACCAGGGACCTGCTCGCTGAGAGGCAGCAGCTCTACCAGTTGTGCCACCGTGCTGCCCTACGTTTTATTCTCATTTGTGCCAAAATGTCTCCACAAATAATTTGGTGCATGATTGTTTCAAGGGAGTGGTGGTGCAGAGGTTAGAGAGGGTGGGCCTGTGAACGGAAGGTCGCCAGATCAACTCCCCAGACTGACAACATCAAAAGAAGGGTGGAAAATGTGAAACACCCACACCTGCCTCCACCCTCATTTGCCCCACTCTGAACCCTTGAGCAAGGCACTGAACCCCCACCATCTGTTCCCAAACAGGTCTCTCTTGAAAAGGAGTTCTCGTGACTCAACGAGACTTCCTGTTAAAATAAAGTTTCCACTCAATTAGATTCCTTCTGCATCTCGGGGCCACACATGGTTTCATGGTGGGTGGCAGCGCTGCAGAGGAGCTCAGAGCTGATCATTAAATCATACAGCATCATCTTTCCTTTCAGCTTCTGCTCAGCGTGCACAACTTTTCTGTTGCGCAGGAGAATCTGAAGGCACTCGTGTCTGGGCCCTCGCAGCTCGTGGATCAGATCCTGTCCTCCACTGACATGATCACTGAGCTGCACATGTGAAATGTGACCATTCCATTTTTCTACATGTGACTGTGGCAGATTGATGTGAAATTTAAAAGAAAACAAACATTTAAACTTCAACTCGTGCGAAGGAAAATGGAAAAGGAGAAACAGATTCAGCAAGAAACGCTCCTGAAGGACAGAAGTGACAGAAAGAGAGCTGCCATAACTCCTCAGGAACAGATGAAACAGAAGACAAACATGTCCTCCGTCTCTGAGGGACGTGACTGTTGCTCTCCGTCAGTGTTACAGGACGATCTGTGCATGCAGCCACGCACCAAAATCACACAACAGTTTCTCAAGTTGTTCTGCTCACCACGTGCACAGAAGGACACTTTCCCCTCTTTGCTCCACAATGGGGGACAACAAGTGTTTTGTTGATGGTTGTTTGCTACTCTTATCTGGACCCCAAGATATTTGAAAAGTACAATATTTCAGTGCTTCTCAATTTACTTATAAAAACTGAGCAAGCTTTATTTAGTCCAGACTTCCCATGAAAATTAACCAGCTCTGAAGACGAGAAAGATTAGTTTGAAATTTCTGTCATTTTGATTTTGATGTGGGGAAAAGCAGCAGAGAACGAAACTTTCCTTGAGGAGTCTGCAACCAAGAAAACACGTGGCCCTCGCTTTGTAACTTAGACTGACACTCGTTCTCAGACTGAACGATCCTTTGATGAAGGACGAAGCGTCTCAGCAAAAACAGAAACCGTCCAGATGACCTGACTGAACTTTTGTCAGTTCAGCAACTATGGCAACAAGTCCCGACGAGAGGACATGGAAGCACTACGAGCAGTCGATGCTTCAGTAATGCCATACGACTTCTCACATCGTCTCATAAAACACAGCACTTGTAACACGCAACCTGACGTTCTGTTCTGTGACGTTCAAACATTTCATCGTTTATCCAAAAGTCTTCATCAGTCTGAGGAGCTGCAACACTTACTTTTATAAATAAACAGTTCCCACACACTCAACTGCTCAACAACACTTTTCTGCCATTTTTCCAAGCAAGAGCTAGAAGACGATAGTGGCAGCGTTCAGACAGACCAAAGCAAAGTAACCTGATACTCTTGACCCATGTGCAAGATATATGCAGAAAACTGCTGCAGTCGGAATCGACCCGTATGAGGTGAAAGACATCGTGGCGGACGTCACGGACAAGTTGCCACCGATCTTTTAGTTAATTATTCAGTGAACACGAGGAGTGCCTGCACAATGGTAATGTCTGGGTGCTGCACCGTTCTTGACCCGGTTTGTCTTGAGAGAGAGATTTTTAAGCCTCAGTCAGATTTAACTGGTTAAATAAAGACTGGAACAAATATCAACATGCAACCTCCTAACAAAAAGAGCCCAGGCTCAAACACGGGACTAGAACCAGCACATTGTTGCTGTGAGTGTTACCGTGTGGGGGTTTAGCACATAGCTTAGCATAGCTAAGCTAACTACAGTAGAGATGTGCTAAATCATGAACAGAGCAGTTCCAGCACACAAACATACTCTGACATTGTTTGTCAAAATGACTAATATATATATTTTTTGTTGACCAAAATAAAAGTGACTGGAGAAAATGCTGGATGTTTGTGAAGGTGGATCCTTGTGGTTGATGTTTCCAAGCCACACTCGATGTTCTGAACTCAGCTCCTCCGTTTGAGAGCATTCACATTTCCTGATTGAGATTAAATGAGAACTGCACTTTGTCGAACCGTCTGCCCAGCTGGAACATCCTCAGATCCAACACGAACCACTGCACTGTCCTTAAAGAAGAAAATACTGTACCAACACTCAGCCGTGTGCAGACGCTGCGTGCCTACACAGATGGTGGTTAGCAACACAGCGACCAGAAGTTGTGTCATGACAACTATGTACGGCACCTTCTCGTAGTGGATCAACCAGTTTGTTGGTGACAACAATGTCAGGGAACTAAAGATCCATTGTTGGGCTGATGGGCCTTCTTTTACATGTGAACAGGTAGTTCTGGTTGTCAGCAACAAACTGGATGATCCACGATGAGAAGGTGCTGTTCATAAAACTTGAGACTGTTCCAGCTCCTCAGACTGAAAGATTTTTGGATAAAAGTCAAAATGATTCAACAAATGGTTCAGAGAGGGAGCGGGGCGGGGTCCACCGGCAGTAGACCAACCAGTGAACCGAGTCCACAATGCTGCAGAACCTGCACCGCTCCATCCGGTGATCTCACGCTACATTCTTTACCAACTCGTGAAACACAGACCGTGTTTATGTACAGTATATTATACATGAACTCCTTCACTGGAGGCAGCACCTCACTCCCAACCCAGAGGCCAATCCACCTTTTTCTGAAGACAACTTGGAGGTGCTGATTCTCAACATAGACTACAATGATTTACATGCCTTCATCACATCTTTTATCTTTAGCTCTATAAATCGCACAGTCCTACTGCAAACTCTTAAAGCACCAGGTAATCCATCAACTTGAGATCAAGTTGACATGAATCAAAGTGTTACAATCACCGAGTCACCAGGAAACAGTGTTTGCACCACAACAACTCAGCACACTGAAGTGTTTTAGGAACTCAGGTCACTATTCTTTAATTATTAACTGCTCAAAGTTCCTGTGACGTGGACACAAAACAGAAGAGGAACCTCTTGTAGTTAATGAAAAGCCTTCTTGAGATTATATTGGGAGCATGGGATGATATTTGTATCACAGTTCATAGTATTTATTAACCTTCAACCAGGCAAATGCCACTGAGATCACAGATCTACTTCAAAGTGCGGCCTGAAGGCAGTCTAACGTGCATGTTTTTGATCTGTGGGAGGAAACTGGGGTACCTGAAGAAAACCCACACATGCACGGAGAGAACATGCAAACTCCACCCAGAAAGACCACAGGTCCGACCGGGGATTGAACCCAGGACCTTCTTGCTGTGAGGCAACAGTGCTAACCACTGAGCCATCGTGCTGCCTCGTTCACAGTGATTAACCTCTTCACTTAATCATGGTTTGCTTTAATCTAAAACCGGGTCCTTCTGAAGTGAGTCTGCACACCACACGAGCAGGATTAAAAAACAAAGATAGGAAACGTAAGTCCTAATCAGAGGTATTTTTAGCACGACTTCATATTTGTGTTTCTCGTCAGCACACATATCCAGGTGTGATCATTTTGTAATGTTGGTGCTTCCCTTACCACACCTCCCATTAGTGACAACCAGTTGAAGGTAATAAACATCTCACCTGTTCTCACAGATATTTTCTGAGCAATCATCCTTCCTCCTACAACAGCCAGTCCTGTACACAAACAGTGTCCCAACGTGCCACCCACTGCCACTCCGAAGGGATCCTAGGAGGAAAACAACAACAGCATGGAGCAGCAGAACGACGCTCTGAATCTTGTTCGTGCATCAACTACACTGCAACAAACCTCCCGGGCAGCGAGAATAATGGTGGTCAGCTGTGAGCGATCCCCCCATTCTGCCAAAAAGGTGAGGGAGAAGGCTTGGATGAAGATGGGTGAAATCAAGCTGCGCCACTTGGGCTGGGGAAGACTAGTTCCTGTTCCAGCTTCCACATCTGGAGCACCATTAACCAGCTTGGACCGCTGCAACTGCACAGACAAACAGAACAGTTCGTATATAAAGTGAACTCACCCGTACCTCAAGCTTCTCAGTTTCTCTTCAATCCTGGATGAATTTTAGCTGCAGATATTAGAAGTGTGTAAACTTAAAACTACATTTAAATTTAAACTCTAAAGCAAAATGCCATAAAAATAAAAAATTCAGCAGTCCGTCTTTCTTTTTTTGGCATCATCGTGTTCTGAACGGCTCAGACTCATCAGCAGCACAAGTGCCGTGACACGTTTCTGTGCAGAGACGCTCTCTCTGTGTCTTCACCGTCACTTTGAGGCGTCTGGAGGTTTGGCTGCAACATGCAGCAACAACAAAATGTCTGATCTGTTTGGGGAAACAAACACTTTTACCTAATCCCACCTATTATTTGTGCTCTGTGACAGGATTACAGACACCTGGAGTTGAGCTAAACTCCTTGTGAATTGTGATCACATACATTAATGAGACTAAACTATTATTTGTGTGTAAAAAGTTCCCATGACTGAAACAGGGTTTTCGTGGTGACTGGTGCATTTCCCAGCACGTTTGTTTGGATCGCTCGACACGTTTAGTGTTGCTGCAGAGCTGAAGTGCTGTGAAACAACGTGGGCTGACATTTACAATTTACTGCTTTCATTTCTTTACGTTTCCCGCTTCACTCTTCAGGTAGTTTCTCACTGGACAGCGACTGCTGGATTCTAGTTAACACAAAATGGGAACATTTTCTATTGTGGTCTCACTGAATTTTGAGTGTTCACAACCAGTGAGGTTGTTTTGAGAGGCCACTTTTTGAAAACGATGCCACACCGTCTGCAAGGCATGAAAAACCTGGATTTTACAGGCTCATTATTTTGTTGCCCATCTTCACCCACACTGTATTCGACTCAGCGAAAATTTTAACATTTATGATTTAATCTAGTAAAAAACATTCTGAAATTGAGCCGTCTGTGATTCTAGAGCTGGATATTCAGGGCTGTAGCCCCAGAGGGTTTCTCCTGTGCAGCTGTAGCACTCTGAGGGGTTGGAGCCCCCCCCCCCCCCCCCCCCCCACTGACCAAATACATGAGGAGATTTTGTAAAACAAAAGGAATAATTTTTGGAGCACACTCAAAACTCAAGCCTCTACAGCTCAAGCTGAAACTGAGGACATTGCAAACATACTGAGACATTTTAGAGACTCCACTGAGAATCCTGTTTGCAAAGTAGTTGCAGCCAATTGAAATACTTTTACTAGTTGAGCCATGGAAAAGTCTCAAAGTTATGTTTACCGACAGTTACTGAACACGGCACAGGGAGCCAAGTTTGCATTTTGAAAAAGTCTAAAAAGCCAAAAGTCCTATCCAGATTGATTACAAAATATTTGACATGTAACAAGACATGTATGACATGTACCGGTCATGTTGAGATATTTTGAGGTTTCCAAATCATACCCCAACTTACTTCTTCATCTTTCTTCTTGATCTCTGCTTGCACCTCCTCGAGCTCTTCTTGGCCTTCATCTGGACTCATCTTCAGCCCCTCTCTCAACATGCGCAGACCAAAAATGGCAAACAGCGCAGTGGATACGTAGTAGGTGTAGATTCGAGGGATGATGGTGGTGGCGTAGCCAAACAGGACTGAAAGAAAGGAGAAACGGTTCATCGTTTACAGTAAGAGGCGACTCCACATTACAGCTGGATGTAGGGCATCAAAACAAACCTGAGAGACAGGTCATGATCCCCAAGGCCAGCATGGCCCCAAGAAGCACGGTGAGGCGGTTGTAACGCATGGCCATGATGGCTGCGATGAAAAACGTCTTGTCTCCCAACTCAGACACGATGATGACGGAGAAAGAGGCCACAAACGCGTGAATGAAGCCCAGGTTTGTTTTGCTGGAGCCATCTTGAGAAACTGCTGGGCCCACTGGGTGGAGAGTCGAAACTTTCTGAGGGAACCAGCACACAAGCCCATGACCTTTCTGAGCCGTGTCTGAATCAGCTTAACACCAACATTCATTTTTCATCACAAAGTATCGTGGGTGTCAAGATAACATACATAGATTTACGTCACTAGACTTTGACACAGTTAAGAAGTTAAAAATAGAGCTTCAGTAGTGATGGTGGTATGAAACAAAAGCTTCAAAACATGCTTCGATCCCTGCAGTAAAATTACATCGAACCACTGCTTCAGAGCCTGTTTCGGTGCGGAAAAAGTCACATGACACGTGACGTCCAAAACACAAACTGCTTCGTTGTCTGAATGAATCTCTGGACTGGTTCACGATCCAATCAGCTGACTCCCTGCACCGCCTCGTCTCGATTCTGACAGGTGACAGGTGGAGACAGTTTTGAATTGAGAGCTCAACACGATGAAACATTTTAGAGCTGTTTCAATGTGTTGGAGAGCAGGTGTGTTTCTGCTGTTAGTTGAAACTGAGTAATTATAGAGCTATGCAGGAAAACAGATCGTTCTAACGTGTGGGAACACTTCATTCTGCTCATCATGAGGTGGTTTTGGTATTTAAATGTCAAAAAAGTTATAGTAATGTTCAGCAGTGAAGATATTCTAGCAGTTTTTTGTTACTTTTCTTTTTTTTAGCCATCCTATTTGTTTTTTTTGTAATTAAAAAAAATCTGTAGGCCTTTTTATAACTGTCTCTTGTTGTCATCGTTCTTTGTTGAAATCAGGTCTCTCTTGTAAATGAGTCCTCGAGGCTCAATGGGATTAACCTGTCTCAATAAAGGTTGAATAAAAAAACATTATCTAACCCATTTAACCCACGTATTTAATATAATTACAGTAAAATGATGTATGTGATTAATAATCATATATCAGTACGGGCTCAAATGATTAATTTTTTTATTTTCATTAGTGTATTTGTGCAGGTGCAGTGTTGGTGTGTTCACCTGAAGCATCATGATATGATCATCAGACACTCCAGCTCCACACATGGAGATGATGGAGACGTCATTTCATTATTTTATGAATTATTAAGACTCTGCCACAGTTACACAAGCACAATACCTTTGAAACACTCATTAAATCTCTTCAATGCACATTTATGAATTTTATTCAAACACATGTAAGCATGAATACATTTTCAAAGCAGACAACAGAAACTTGATGAATTTAAACAATCTGTGTTTACCACAGTAAAGTAGTTTCTTTAACACTAGTCACTGAAGCTCTTGGTGTGTGACACTAAAAGCCTAGTTTAACAGCAGCAATGCAAAATGCCACAAGAGGTCAGTGTAACCGAAGCTTCAACAAATGAACCCACTTTTGAAACAATTGGCCCAGCTGGTTCGGTGCTTCATAAAAGCTTCATTTGCTCGTCACTGCTTCAGGACTGTTGTTTCTCGGTTAGCATAGTTAGCTTGCAGGGACCGACGACGGTCAGACCATTTCTAACTGTACACAACAAACCATGTCAGCGGGGATGATTAAACAGCTTTTACCTCTTGTGGGGGTTGCTCTTGCACCGACCTGTGCTCCTCTTGAACAGCAGCAGACACTCCGACCCACATCAACCCAACGGCGGCGAGCAGGAGCGCGGCTCCGTGAAACCGTCCGCCTTCACTTCCCACCAAGACGAGCATTTTTGCGACCCAACACAATTATTTTCTTCCCCGTCTGTCACTTCATCTCACCAAAAACAAAACTGAACAACTTCATATCGAAACATACAGTTTGACGGACTTCTTGATGACACACGTCACAGAACAAACCGCCGGGGCCAACTCAACAAGGAAGCTACCGTGACTTCCGCTCTGTGACAAACCAGACACGTGATTGGACAGTTAAAGTGTGACGTCTAAGTAAACTGCTCAGTGATTGGACACTTAAATCAATTTTTTTCCAAGTATTGTAAAACGAGCTAGAAACATAAAAAATATTATATAAAGAGGCAGAATCATAATATATTTAAATATCATTGTAGGTAGTGTGTCTTTAGAAGTATGTACATTATTAAAAAGTAGATTTTTAATAGTTAATTCTATTTTTTCCTTTATTTAACCAGGCAGTCTCATTGAGCCGAGGACTCATTTTCAAGAGAGGCCTGTTTTAGGAGCAGATGTTGGTGGTTGAGGGCCTTGCTCAGGGGCCCGGTCAGGTGTGGGTGCTTCACCATTCCCACTCACATTTTGATGTTGTCGGTCTGGGGAGTCGAGCCGACAACCTTCTAACCACAGGCCCACCTTCTCTAGCCTCTGAGCCACTACTCCCTTCTGTTTCTTTACAGCTGATTATTTTAAAGTTTAGTCTTTTATTATTTAGAAGTATACATTGTATATTTAAAGTATTCATAAAAAGTATTATTCTTGCCAAATAAATTGTGGTCAGTATAAATTAGACTTCTTGACAAAATAAAAAATGTCTTTAACGTCAAAGTGAAATCAAATTTCTGTAGTTTGATCAAAATGTGTATAGTAAAATAAGCAACTGCGTCACTGTTCACATTCTGTAAAGTAATTCTCTTAGATCGACTTAGAAGAGTTTTGAAAAGTACAAGTCAGGAGATGGATACTTCTCCATGGCCCCAAACATCCCAGGAGTTCTGATAAATCCATCATCAAGGGATGAATTAGGGACGTGTAATTCATCAAACTGAGTGACTGTGGAAGAAGGAAAATAGTGAGAGACCCCCAAGACGCATGTGACCACCCTGAAGAAGTCCCAAGCCTTTGTAAACGAGATGTGACAGTGCATACAGATGTTTCCTGGGTTCCTCACAAGTCTAAGCTTTAAGAGTCAAAAAGAAAACCACTGTTGGAGAGAACTCAAAACAGTGGACTAGTTTTACCAAACTGCATGAACAAGACCTTACGGCCAAGTGCTCCTCGGTAGCTGGACACTGGAGATGTAATGAGCGTGTTACATTTATTATGAATACTTTTTAGGAGAACTTTACAACGAAATTCAAGTTATTTCTATAATACTAACAAAAAATGAAGTATAGGTACTTAATAGCTATAACTATATTAAAACTAGCCTAATTTTGAGTATTATGCAACATTGAATGAATTAATAATTTTCAGGTCTCTCTTGTAAATGAGTCCCCGAGGCTCAATGGGATTAACCTGTAAAAGTAAAGGTTGAATGAAAAAAACAAAAATCTCTGACCTGTCACAGCAGACACTACTGGTAATGTTGACCGATGCACTAAAATAAATATTCGGCAAGTCTAAAATAGAACAAATTATTTTGCTACGTCAGTCATGGTTTTTGAATCTGAACAAACTCACCAACACACACACACACATATATATATATATATATATATATATATATATATATATATATATGTGTGTGTGTTAGTCAACAGTGACAGATTTGAAGCGTTTCTGCATGTTTCTGTACAGTTAGGTCATTGGCAATGTGAACATCTGACACCAGTCTCTGAGGAAATCCAATACCCAGTTGCAGCGTGTTGTAGGAAGCTCAGTTTACAGATTAGTTTCAACTGAACCATGAAGAAAAATGATCAGCTCACGGCAGCAGGTTGTAATTTCAGGGTGTGTAAAGCCAAACAGGGATGAGATTACATGACGTCCTCAGACACCACGAATGCAACTTGGTTCAGTTCAGACTTGTTGGATTGAAGAACTATCTCAATAAAACAGTCAAATTGGAATTAGAAACGGTGAAAACTTCATACAACCTCATTATAACAATGTCAAAAATCATTGACCATTATTGTAAATATACAAATAGGTTTAACGAATGAACAAAACAGATCAACAGAAATGAATCCGTCCAGATCGAGGACCTGATTCAACCTTGTTACATGCACCTAGCTGGATTCTTGAGCAGCATCAGGAAACCTGCGTTAAAGCCTTTTTATGTGTTGGCAGATGTTGATTAACTGCGGCAATTTAGTTGACCCCCAAAGCTAATTAGTTGCATTTACACTAAATGTCACACAAATTGCGCATTTACACTAAATGATTGCTCACACATGCGCGTGCACATGCAGGAAAAAAACGTTATCATCTGCCTTTGCCTTTCAGCAGAGGTGAGAACATGGAATATGTGAAAAACATATATATGCTGATGCAGATTTAAGAAGGAATCAGTCATTCCAGTGATTACATACAAGACTGTTGCAATAGTGAACAAACACTGTCTTACCTTATAAGTACTGTGAAAATTAAAAAAATATTTAATGAAATGTGACATCCCTGCCTTCACATATGACCAATAACACATCTCACCAGGAGATAGTTGCTTTGAAACTTCTCACACTAAAACAATTCATTGTTGTCCTTTTAGCTATTGAAAGCACACTGCACGTGATCAAAATCATTTTATTAATCAATGCAGAAAAATACTTTTTCTAGGACTTTCAAAGCTCCTAATTTTCACAACAAAACAGTAAAATATTCAGAGCACAAAAGGTATAAATGCTTTTCTGTGCTTTGGGTATGAGTCGTACTTGCTAACATAAAGTTCATGACTGAGCTGCCCTGCCAGTGCCTGATTGAAAAGCACATAAAGGACCACAAGCCACCAGGTCAAAGAGTGGCCACCAACTATCAAGCTAAATGAGACGTAGATCAGCAACTCTGCAAAGTAATGTGGGCACGAAACCAGCTCGAAGCAGCCCCCACTGGGCATCCTATGAGCCAGCGTCTCCACTCGGCCTAAAAGACAAGAGACAAGGACAAAAGACAAAAACTGTAAATGAAGCTCCATTTCTCAACACGCTCGCTTCCACACATTGTTCAGAACAGCTGTTTGAGTCACTGATGTGTTCAGTTTGAATTTCAGGGGTTTTTTGTAACCCCAGCGGCAGCACGGTGGTGTAACCGGTAGAGCTGCTGCCTCTCTGCGAGCAGGTCCCCGGTTCAAATCCCAGTCGGGGGCCTTTCTGGGTGGAGTTTGCATGTTCTCTCCGTGCATGCGTGGGTTTTCTCCAGGTACTCCAGTTTCCTCCCACGACCAAAAACATGCATGTTAGACTGATGGTAACTCTAAACTGTCCCTAGGTGAGAGAGTGAATGGTTGTTTGTCTCGTTTGTCTCCATGTGTCCCTGTGATGGACTGGAGACCTGTCCCTGGTGTCCCCTGCCCGTCACACAGTGATTGCTGGACATGGGCACTGGCGACCCCCGTGACCCAAAACAGAAAAAGTGGGTAAAAGATGATGGATGGATGTAAACCCAGCCAGCTCTCTGAAAGGATGTTGAAGAAAGAGGACATGAGCACTTATTTACTCATGTTGACAGAAGCTGCTACTTTGTGGTCTTTTCTTCAGGTTTATTGTTTCTCACTGAAATATCCAGACCCACCATGTAGAAATAACACAAACTACGCAGACATGCTGTGCAAAAAGTGTCCAAAATGTACTTGGTGCATCATTTCCTCATGTGCAGCAGATGTTGGAAACATTGCAGAATACTTCAAGTTATTAGAACTAATCTCATTTGAACAATTCCCTGCAACAAAATATTTGTGAGAGCAGAGAAAATAAAGACCTGAATTAAAAGACAACACTCTGCTTGTTCATGACCTAACAAGACGTTTACGGACATTAGAATTTTGTGCACAATTAAAATAGCTTTAATTACCAATTACTGAGTAAAATGCATAAAAGGAATGACCCCCCACCACCACCAACAACAACAAATTGGATTTACAACCTAATGAAGTTTTGTTACACTGTGTGCTGGTGATGAAATTTCCAAGTTTTCATGTTGCCCCAACAAAATGGAGAAAAATCAGTTTTAGTACATTTTAGCCGGACTAGAGTTTTATAGAGATTTCTCCACATTTTTAAACGTTCTCTTTCAAAAATAAAATTCACAACTAGAAAGTTCCTGGTTCGTCTTTTTCATTTGTTCAGACGTTTAAGTTATGCTCCATCACAGAAGTATTGCTGCTAAAATATGTGTCTTTATTGAAAAGCTCAAAATATTTAATATCATTTTTTCTTCCAAGAAAGATCTGAATACAGATTTCTATAATATGGTTTTCCTCCATATGCTGGTCCACTTCAGATTCCTCAGAACAAAAAGAATTTAATGTTACCTTTGGACCAAGTCAGCATAAAGAATTTTTAATTTTATTTGCACCATTAAGTTTTAGGAGGTATTTATATATGTACTCATGGTACTAATGCAGCTGAAGCAATGTTTAAAACATCGTGGGTTCATTTCAACTTAAAAAAATAATCTAAACCCACAATATTTTGTTATGTGGAGTTTTTTTTGGTCCGGTTTTTATACTTTTTCTGATTGGTGTCGTACCGACTGCATGTTTCTGTCTCAGTGATATTTCAGTCTCTGCAAACTGAAGACAGATAAAAACCAGTGATATAGGATCAGTGTTGGAGCAAACCAAACATCAGCCAAAGCAGGAAACCTGCAGTGGTTCAGACACACCTGATTTTCCAGTTCGAAGCCTGGCCAGTAGGACGATGGACTGATGCTGCAGCACTGAAGCGCCAACAAAAAGTGCAACTCCAGCAACATGAAGCCAGTTCAGCTGAAAGAGGAAAGTGCCCGTACCTACAAAAAGCACAATCCTTTTATGCAACATAGTAGAACTAGAAAATTCATTCAACCTTTATTTATGCAGGTTAGTAAATAAAGGAATGAAAGGAGTACGGTTTGTCTGACCTTGAGCTGTGAAATCTGTGCAGAGCACGGTCAGTCCCAGCACAATATAATACCCGAGACCAAACGCATACTGCATGAAATGGATGACCCCATGAGAGAACACACTGACAAACGCACACTCCAGCAGCCTCCTGAGGGCGTGGACGCAGAGCAGCAGCTGCAGCACGACAGTGGACAGCTGTGGGACTGGAGAGAGCGTTCACATCAGCATGGAAACACAGAAAACACGTTTCAACAGCACGAGTCTGTCTCTGACCTTTGCTGCCTGCTCTGGGCCCACCTGTCAGCGTTTCTAAAGTCCAGGTCAGCCATGGAGGGTAGGGCTGCTGCTGGCAGGCGGCCTTCAAGTACAGCACCAGGAGAAAAGCACTCCAGCAAACAGACACAAGATAAAAGTGCCAAAACCACCTTTTGTGGAGAAAAGCACACACAGTTAGTGTTACAGCTAAATATGCCCGTTTTCAAAAACCTATATTCAATCAGAATTTTTAGTAAAACTTTAGAAATATCTGCAATGATTTTTGTTTAATTTTCAATCGCTGGCACCTTTTGGGGACGTCAAACACTCGCTGCCACTCCGTCCTGCTCACGCTTTGTTTGGTTTTTCCGAACCGAATAAGATCCTGAAATAACGGCCACAAAGTTGACGTCTCGCGTGATTCTGGCACGCGAGACAAGAATTTGTGCGCACAAAATGCCCCAAGGAAACATAAAACCAGAAAAGACCATAAACAATCTATCAAATTCAAGCCAACCGAGCTCCAAGTCATTTTAAACCTCTGCGGGCCGGAGTTTATTATTGTGCAATGCAGAAAAGATACCGCCGGAAACAAGGCTTCGAAAAGTAGTTCCGGCTGAAAACCTCCTTGTAACAGTGTTTTTATTTATCAAGCAGTGTTGTGAAATAATTTGACTAATGTGTACAACTTTTAACGGTACATTTATATGTGACTAAGCACATAAGGAAATTGTGCAACAGTTTAAATAAAGCAGGCAATTATCTTAAAATGTTCCTGGTTTAAAGTCCTCGTTGATAAGCTCAGCGAATTTATTTCTGTTTTCCTTTACAGAACAAAGATATGATTATTATTCAGTCCGTGTTTATAAATCCATCGCATGTAAGGCTTGAGCACATGTGTAGTTGTTTGGGTTTTAGTCTTCAGAAAGCTGAAGTGTATCAGTTTGTCCAGCAGGGGGCAGCATTTACATCACTGCTCTGCGTTTCTCGCCTGGAAAGTCGAACTGAATATTAACTAGGAATATTTTTAAGGAGATACCATACCATACCATACCAATTTATTTATATAGCACTTAAAACAGCAACAAGGCCAACCAAAGTGCTGTACAAAAGAACACAAACATGCACAGTGGACAGGAAAACATAAAATAGAAATACAGATACAAATAGCAGCAGAAGCTAACTAAAATGGCCAAAAGAGTAGAGAACAGACCGGACCAAAACAAATCACACTGTGTTAAAGGCAAGAGAATAGAAGTGGGTCTTCAAGCGAGACTTAAAGACTGAGCGTGTGGGAGCCTGCCGGACACTCAGTGGCAACTCATTCCACAGTCGTGGACCTGCGACAGAGAAAGCCCTGTCACCCCTGAGCTTACGACGGGTTTCTGGGAC